CCCACTTGCCCTTGTAACAAATTTCTGTTGCTGCCTCCTCCTAGTTGCTTCTCAATCCTTCTTGTTTCTTCTAGAATGGGTGACGCGGATGGAAGCCTATCATTACCCCCGTTTCCAAATCCACCTTGTCCTCAAGGTGGGAGTCCGGTAAGTGTTGGCAGATAGACCTTTATGATTCTCATGAAGCTTCATTTGATGGTAAGCCTTCTGGGTCAGACTTTCCTGTGAAGCTTTCAGCAACAGATTGCAGTCCTGAATTCGTTGGGCTACTTCCATTAGTTGGCCCAACCCTTTTGGGCTTAATAACTTGATTGCAGCCCTAATATCAAGCTTTAACCCATTAACAAAAGTGCTTTCCAAGACTACCTCAGGTTCATCTATTAAAAACGCAGCCAACACCTCAAACACACACCGAAATTCAGCAACAGTATCACCTTGATTTATTGCCAGGAACTTCTCAAAGATGCTTCCCTCTTGCTTTGGCCGAAAATGCAGCGGGGCTGTTGCTTGAATTGCTGCCAGTTTTGGAAAGGCATTCTGGCCGATTGTTTCGAAGATTCCCTGGAGGCTTTGAAGTTTGGTAGCCCCTTATTTTTATTGTGATGCCCGATTGGATTCTTCTCCCGCCATCGATGATATAATCGCTTCCTTGCTTGCAGCATATTGGCGTAACTGGGGCTTGGATTAATCTGGGTGTATATAGTTGTTGGGCCATTTTCCTTTATTTTATTCTGGCCCATTTCACCTAGGGCTTGATTAAGTAAAACTTTGTAATCCTCTTGTTGGGCCGCCTCTATATCATACTCTAAACCCACTAACTTCAACAATCTCTCTCTTGTCATCTTCTCACAAATAAGCCTATTAACAAACCGCCTTTCCCACATCGCATATGAGATCTCTGACAATGGAGCGGCTGGTAATCCAGATTGGCGATAATCACTCACCAACCCTTCCTGTAGGAAGGCTAAAAGTTTCTCCTCATTGGTGCCTTCTCCGGTCGATCGAGATCTATTCATCAGTAGCCCCTGTAATTCCTTCCCAACAATTGAAACTCAATTGGGGTTAATACCATAATTGAAATGCACCACGACCTCCATCTCTTGTGCAATCTGTCTTTTTGTGGTCTTTTTCGCAATAAATCCAACTACCAAATTCAATAAAACCTTCAATTTATCATCAACAGAATTCAGGCATATATTTGTGTAATTTGGGCTGCTCATAATTGGGCTGAAAAAAGGTAGGTTATAGTTGTTAGTTTTAGATCTATATGGGCCGAAATTTGGTTGGCCCCTTGCTTCATTTTGATTTTCCACTTTTTGGGCTGGCTCAATAATTTGGTCCACCATTTGAGCCTTCCGTATGACCTCCGCTTGTCTTGCCGATTTCACGCCACTGGGGAGATTTCCTTCCAACACCGTTTCCAGACTCGTCGGCGATGGAGCTTCCAGATTCTCCATCATTCTTTGATCCTCCTTGACCGTCCTCTGCTCTCCAAAAAACTAGCCAGCTGAATTATCACCATGGAACACCGTATCTGGAATTGTCGGCATCTTCATCTTCTTCGACGTGTTTTGTAGCAGCCATCTTGGTTCAAGACTCTCCGACAGAGAAGACTCTACAACTCCTAACGGATTCTCCTTTTTGATGGTGTCTTCTTGTTGAGGTGGATTCCAGTTTGTGTCCTCTTAAGACAAACCAAATTTGTCAATCATTAACCCTTTCAATTCTCTTCAAGTTTGCACTGGCATTTGTCGATCGACCTCCTGAAACCAAATCCATGTATGCCAGTCAAAACAGGCTGTTGCAGCCTCTATTTTCTCAGCCTCCAACAATTGATTTTGGGAGAAGATCTCATCCGCTAAGGACACCCAACAATCTGTGTTTTCCCCATGGAATATCGACAAATTTAGCTGGCCGTATGAATCCAGCCCCAAATCACCGTCTCGACCTCCTTCCCGTTGCATTACCATCTTCTCAAGCCGATTCAATAGTGAGATCCAACTCTCTTCTAATTCTTTGCTGAAATTAGTTCTTCTGTCCAAGGATCGAGTGCTCTGATACCAATTGATAGAGTTCCAGTAGTAAAGAAAATAATAATAGGAAATAGTGAAATGAACTTTGATTGAATTGCAAAAAAATTGCAAAGAAAGTAAAGAATAATTAGCCATTCGAGAGGGCTATAACTCTCCTAAAGGTTTCCCTTCTACCCAATCAATAATTCCCTCCTACTAAGTCTCTCTCCTCTCTTATTTATAGCCATTCCCCCTCCCCCCACTTGCCCTTGTAACAAATTTCCGTTGCTACCTTCTCCTAGTTGCTTCTCAATCCTTCTTGTTTCTTCTAGAATGGGCGAGGCGGACGGGAGCCTATCAGAGCTCTGCAGAAGCAAAATGTAGCATAGCATAATTTTTTGCCACCATAAAAGGAGTGTGTATAGAATAAACAATCATATTTGTTCACACAAATAACAAATCACAGTTCAGTTAAACTGTTGTATCTAATAAATAAACCAGATTTTGTTATCATACAACAGTTTAACTGTCAGTTTGAACATCAGGCTCATGAACAACCAACAACCAGATTCAACGTCATCAGTTTGCCACCTAAACGCTCGATTCCAACAGATTCCTCACAATACAAAAAGGAGCTAAGAAAATTTCACAAGCCAACTTCAAACTTCATTCAATCATGTAGGACAGTGAAAGAGACTACAGAACACCTTGCAAGAGTTCCACAGCCTTCTATCTCAAAAGTTGCAAAATTTTAAATGAAAATGAGCTGTATGGTATTTCCAAATATCTTGAAAATGCAAAGGGCTGCAAGAGCAAGAGTTTTTTCACCATTTATTTAGCATATTGTATTCTTAGTGCGTGTAACTCTCCATCTCCAATAAAAGTGCTAGAACAAATAGTCAGCTTTGCCTCCAGAGACCTTGACAAAATTCTTACAGCAATGCAATCTCTTTCATCTGAAAAAAGAAAAGCAGCCATGTGCAGACACATAATTGTAAGAGAATGTGCAAGTGTTGGATAATGTTAGGTTTAATTTTACCCTTTGAACCGTCTTCTGCACATAAATTCTTCAAGTATTCGGAATCCCTTTCCTTCTCACTCTGAATTACTTGCTGCAACCTTCCAAACAATCCACCGCTGCAATTTACCAATTGAGAGTGAGATTCTGACTCAAAGTAGAGGTGTATTATCTACATCCAGCAGCTAACTTGCAAGAATTTAGCACCAGTACCCACCCCAATAGTCTAGGCAGCACTAAGTGTGGCCTCTCATCATTCACAGGAACAGTTCCAAAAGCTTCCTGAAATTGATCCACCATAGTCCTGCAAGGAATATTTGACTTGAAACTTTGAGGGTTCCCCTGAAACAGAAAGTACAAAGTCAGCAAGTGAATTTCACAGATGCCAAATCACAGTCAACTGAACCGAAAATAAATGACCGTTTACCAAGGAATTACCTCATCATCACTGGAAAGTCGATTACCCAAAGCTTCAATTAGGTCATCACCATCCATCCTTCCATCACCCGATGGGGATGGATTTCTATTTGGAATAATCTGTGGGTTTCTTCCTCTTTTCCCAATATCCTAGATAAAATATAAGAATGAATCTTCAATACAGAAGTAAAAGAAGATACTAACCATTTCAGAACTTCCTTGCAGCACCCCACTCCTCTCCTTAAAGCAGTCTAGAAATTCAATTATTGAATGCTCTTTAAAAACACAATTAAGGACCAGTTCCGATTGTACTGTGTGAATCTCAGTCTGCTCTATTTCTTGTCCATGAGAAACCCACCTCGTACCATCAATTGACTGGTTCATGTCTCTGTCAGCTGCAGCATCGAATTGATACGGTAATGGAATATTATCCAAAGCTGTCCCATTCTCATTCTTATGCCTAAGAACTAAAGGCAGATCTTCCTTGCTTGACTGGAAACCAAAAGAAAATTTGGGCTTGGCTTTGTCCCTGCCACCACCTGGAGCAGTCAAGAAGCTATTTGAGTAAATTTGATCATAACTCTAGACCAACAGAAGAACAGTCTCAGAGTTTAAGTGATCTACAAGTGATAGGAATTCAAATAACTTTTTTGATTTAACCATAGGCTGATTCCCACAAGACAATAACTCTATACATAATAGTCAAGCAAAAACTCTTCACATATTCAAAGTTGAGATGCTTTATTTCTCTCTCTTTCCGTGCTTTTCAAATAAGGAGCATCTTTGAGGAAGTGTGAGAAGGTTTGAATGATAAGGGTGGAAATTGAAACAAGATGTAAGAAGCAAATAATTGACAGCAGCATGAATGCATTGGTCACCGCCCATAGATGGAAGAAACATAATGTCAACTTATCAAAATCATTTTGTAGGAAAGAGAAAAAGAGGTGATACTTTTAGAGGATTTGTTTTCCTTCACGAAGGCACCTCCAGATGAGGACCTGCCAGAGTTTTCATTAAAACTAAGTAATGTCGCAGCTTCTCGACTTGCTCTGGACCATGTGCCACCAACATCCCTTTTTACGCTTCCCAGTGTATGAAGGCTAACTTTCTTGAAATTTGAAACAGCATAGTTAAAGACATGGTTTACCGAAGAATATACTAAAAATGGACTGCATTTCAGAACAAAAAAGTGACTTAACAAACAGCAGCTATGAAGTTAATAAAGTATCTTATTAGCACACACCTCATCAGCAGAAGTAATTTCTTCGTCGGAGTTAGAGATCGATGCAACTGTTGGTAAGTAGTCAGTTCTTTCATTCGAGTAGCAAGCAGATATTCTCGGACGACGAATGGAATCATCCTCATCATTAAAGAGAGGGTATTCAATTTCATCATCAATACAAAAACCTACTAGCCTCTGCTAACAAAAAGATTCAAGAGGGAAGCTATGTAAATTGAAAACGTGCACATATTTGTATGGAGGAAAAAGAGTTGATTTATTCTTATGGTAGTGAAAAGAAGGTTTTCTTTAACCTTCTATTCCAGTAAATATGACCAATTTTAATGAATTGATTTGATCTCTGCAGGAGGTCCGGCTAAATATTACTGAGTCAGAAAAAGTAGCTATCGTAGTTTCAGGTTAATACCTAACAAGATGAAGTGGACACTTTTTCTGTTGGATCAAGTTGACAAGAATCCGCAGAGACACACGGGGACTAATTTTTCCAACAAAGTGTGACATACTCATTCAAGATGTAGTTATACATTTGAAATGTGTATAGAAGAAATGAATCAAAATGAATACCTCTTAGTTTCTCGAACTGTGAGAGAACTTGTATTTACCCCTGCCAATTCACATTGAATTACACAATATAAAGAATTTACATTCAAATAGTAACATCAAAAAGTTCGCAATATTGAATTTCGCTATATCAAAAATTTTAAAAATTCAGTTGCTGTTACCTATAAAAAATCATTAAACGTCTATATAACATTTCTTTTGCAATGGTTAACAGTATTCACCTTGTTATCCATAGGACCATCCAAGGAAATATATTTTTCTGACCAATCACCCTCCAAAGTTTCCTCCATTTCTGTTAGTTCCAAATTGAATCAAGAAAAAAAATTGAATAAAAAGCCCTAGCAGAAGTCTAACTTATCTATCTAAATTTGCACTAGAAGAGGTAACTCTATCAGAAATACTCTAATCGGAATCAATGTTATCCTGCAAGTTCGTTCCAAATTGTAGCTTCAAATTAGAAATTCGATAATAATTTTGATTGGCCAGAAATAATGGGATAAAAAAATAAAATATGCAATGCGGAATCTATAATCTGAGAGTAGAAATGGAAATTACTAACCGAGAGCCTGTTCTTCCTCTACATTACTGAAGTCTGATTGAAGAAGAAAATCTGAGAGAGTGAAAATGTTGCGATCTATATTATCCTTCGACTGAGAGATGAGGAGCGCGGGAAGAGAACACTGCTGGATTTATGACCAAAGTCGTACGTCACAATTTTCCAGGGGGCACTTTTCACAAAGGCTTTGTCAAGATACCATTTTTCACTTTGACCAATTTTTTTTTTTTGACATTCATCACAATTACCTTTTAAGGTGTAAAAAATAAACTTATTCTTAAGTTACACGATTACAAAAAAAAATATATTGTTTCAAAGACTAGTATATCCTTATAAGTTATAAAAAATTCCAAACATTTCTCACTTAAATTTTCGAAATCAAATCACTTCTTTTATCTGTTTCCTCCAACACGGACATAGAATGACTTCATTTTTCATCTGCATCAACCGTAAAATTTCATAAATTTATCAAACGCTTAACAAAAAAATTATTTCTAGCCAACACTACGAATCGGTAAGTATATTTACGTATTATTAATTTCGTTTTCGTTGAATTAGTAACTTGTTTTTAATTGTTAAAACTTATTTTTTATATATGCAGATAAATTTTTGCAATTTTAGACAAATCTATAATTTTTTAAGCAAAATTGAAAAAAAATCATTTGAATAAGTCCTAGAATGGGCCATTTGGAAGTCAGGGTCATTCTAGATCCACCCGACCTAGCCTGTTGTTTCCGACGTGTTGGATCTAGCCGGCTAGGCCAATTGTCGGTCCGAACAATTTTTGAAGTCATTTTTATCTTGTAATTATACTTTTTTAACAAATTATGTTCTCCTTATGCAGATATGGGATCGGCTGCAATTCAATTTGCTACTTTAGTAAATTTGAAATGAATGAAAATGAACATTGGGTATGGAAATGGACGAGCGAAAGACGTAGTGTTATTGCAATTGTGATAAGTTCTAGTACATCATATGCAGAAATGTACCATGAATTACAGAACTTGCTCGGCGTCGATCCCCCTCAGTACGACATGGAATTGAGATTTCTATTCAGCGAGCATGCATCCATTTTAATTTCACCTATAATAGTTACTTCTGAAACTGAAATGAAAGTTTTAATTGAATTGAACTAGAATCGCACAACTCTTATTTGCGTAACTTTAGTAGAGAAGAATAACCCCGATGGTGAACATGAAGATTTCGATGGAGGGGATCATAATGTGAATGATTTTTGGGACAAAGTGGAGATAGTTCGTGAGGATAACGTGCCTATTCCCGAGATAGTTGCTCCTCACCATGACCTCACTATTATGCACAGAATTATCTCAATAGTTGGAGACAATGAAAATGACAATGTATTTATAAATGAGAATTTGATTGCACTATCCCATCATAGACATGAGTCGGGGGAGCTCACAGATTGGAACGAGTACACGGTCCTCTAAGTGTTCGCGTATAGTTCCCGATTATGAAGATTTATAAGTCGAGCAATTGTTCAAAACAAATAAAGATTTGTAGGAAGTTGTTCATCGAATAGTTTTGAAACACAACTTTGAGCTTAAAGTGAAAAAATTAAACAATTTGACATATACAATTATCTGCATTGACGACAATTGTCATTGGGGCTTGCAGGCAACGAAAATGGACCCGAATGAGTTCTTCATAGTTTATATATATGCACAGAAACATACCTATAAAAATGATTTATAGACCTTCGGACATCATTAATGATGTTCTTCGAGAGTATGTGATGGTCATGAGTTATCAGAAAACCTGGAAGGCCAAGGAATGCACATTGGAGGACTTAATGGGTTTGGTCGATGAAACTTATGCTAAATTGGTTAGGTATTGCCATAACATGGAAAGAGCTAATCCTGGATTGACATTTTTTATTGAGACGGATGGCAAAAATCGCTTCAAGTATTTCTTCATGGTCCTTTGACAATGCATTAGAGGGTTTTGAAACCCAATGCGACCCTTAATTCTAGTCGACGGTACAATTTTTAAGACTAGATACGAAGACAAGTTGATTATTGCAACATGTCAAAATCCTAACATCCAAATTTACCCTCTTGCATTCAGCATAATCGACAAAGAGAATGACCTAGTGATACGTTGGTTCTTCACGAAATTGCAGAAAGTGATTGGGAATTTTGAGAACCTTGCATTCGTAATTGACTAGGGACAGTCGATAATTAATGGTATCACCAAAGTCTTTCCCAAAACGCATCACGGTTATTGTATGTACCATATACAGGGCAACCTGAAGACTAAGTATCGGGACAGTAGCATAGTTGCATTGTTTAAGAGAGTTGCAAAAGCTTATAGTTTTGAAGAGTTCGATAAATTTATGGTCGAAATAGAAAGTAAATCACATACTGCATGAGAGTATCTAACAGAGATGGGGATTGAACACTGGGCACGATCACATTTTTCAGGACGTTGATACAATATAATAATGTCGCTTAATGCAGTGTTCAAGAATGATCGAGAGTTATCAATTCTTGCAATGATTGAGCACATTTGTAACAAGCTACAGTAGTGATTTCATGATCGATGTGAGGAATCATAGAGTTGCACAACTGTGCTAACCCCCGCTCAGGAAAATAAACTCTTCAAGATGTTGAAGGTGACGAAAAAGGTATGTGTGAGACTACTGGACCAGTTTCGCTTCTCTGGAAGATGTGGACGTAATATCGGATATATCGTGGACTTGAATGATAACACGAGCACGTGTAGACGTTTCAGTTGGAAAGTTTTTCATGTACACATGCAGTGGCAGTAGTTATGCATAGTGGATTTTCAGTTATTATTACATGACTGATTATTGAAAAGTATCGTATGCCGAAACGATATATCCTGTACCAAATTAAGCCAAGTAGGAAGTTCCAGACCACATTTGCCCACTTAACAGTGCGTTGTCACCCAGAGTCAAACCACATACTCCTGGATATATACGCATGTCTAGAATACCATTTATTGAAAAATTTCCTCGACCTCGTAAGTGCGGCACGACAGGGCATACTTACGAATTTTGCACAAATCATATTTCATTATATAACAATTCAACAGATATGTAATAAAATTTAAAATTTATTTGCTATTTTCACATTCTGTCTGTTATGTAATATTTAGTATTTGTAAAAATCATTGCATTAAATGTTCGACTTTAAATTCAAATTGATGGTTTGAATAGTAGTATTTTTGAAATACCATATTTATTTTAATTATTTATTTAATATATAATTTAATTTTCATTTAAATATTTAATTAATTATTTTAATTATTTACTTAATGTTTAATGAGTTATATAATATTTCATTAATTATTTTACATAAATTTGACAATATTTACAATTATCTCATAATTACAAAAAATCAACGTATAACGTTTACATAAATTTGACAATATTTACAATTACATCGTAATTACAAAAAATCAACATATAAAATATTTATGGATCACAATTGTATTGATACAACCTCGAGATCAATACTTAAAAATTCTATATATTTTATTGTGAAAATATAGTAATCGCCACTGCAAGTAAATAATAATATATTAGTTCGAGCCCTATAATTAAAAAATAAGTTTTCAAATTAAAAACTATTAAATCCTTACGATATTCCTTGTTTCGCAATCGTCATGTTCCGCACAATGGCTAATTTGTCATTTACTCAAATCATCACATGTCTAGCCATCATGAGAATGATTATAATCATTGACTCCAATTGATTTTGTGTCAAATAGCTATGGTCGGAGTCGTACACATAGATAGTGGAATCAGCAAATACGATCACCAGTGAAAAGCAGTATTTGTTCGTGATCACCGGAATGTACATATGTGTACAATTTGTCCATGGCTTTCTGCATGTCCGCTGCAGCCCAATCACCCATTCCAGCATGTATTTAGGTACCACATATCTATTCTCCTAGATAGAAGTGTGCTATGCTCAATATCAACAGCCTGTGCAAACTCGAAGCTCAAGATAACTCGACTAGGAATGTCAAAAGATCTCGGGTGTCTTCGAGCCCGATCACGTAACAATTTCATGGCCAAGTCGATATGCTGAAACAAAAATACCAATAAAAAAGAGAAATTGTCAATATATCATAATAAATAAATTAACAACTTCTGTAAACATAATATACTTGCATCATTGGCGAGCCAAGCTGAGGTCGTTAATATATCTTCGAACCATTTCTTAGCGATCAAAATTGTCTTCTTCCCAATCTTATAGCTATTTTTGAAAAATGAAAAAGTGAAATGTTACAAAAAGTACAAATGATACTTATATATATATTAGTAAAATCATAAAATACTTACTCGAATTTAAGGGATTTGAACCATTCATTGAATGCCTTGTGTCAAACTGGGTCGATCTTGTAAAAGAGATTGGGGAACGTCCCATCCACAAACGTCCTTCTCTTTTCCTCGACCGTCTAGGGAGAAACGATGTACTGTGACGACAATATCGACCTCTTACCGACCATCAGCTCTGGTACGTTAGCAGCATGCTTTTTACCTTTCCTTACCTCCGCTGCCCCCTTCGACACGAAGACTATGTTCTCCGTCGTCCTTGGCATCCTCTTGTCCTTTACCGCCCCCTCTGCCTCATCCCCCTCCTGTAACACTCCTGTAACACTGCCACGAGTTTTATGTAACGTGATTTAACTGTAATCGTACAGTGTCAAATTTTGTAGTATATTAAGGAATTGAAAAGTGTCGAACCCACAGGGATTGATATTCGACTTCTACTGAATACTATAATTTTGTCCGCGTTTACTTTATTTAGACAATCGGATGTTAAATTGATGTTTGAATATTAAACTAATGTCGATGAATTAAATAACGTAGGGAACATGAATCAATTTTTTAAAGATTGGATTAGAATTATGTAATGTCTAGGGAGTGATTTCACCATATTATCGATATAATTCTCAACACCTATAGATATTCCTATCAACTATTTCTCCAATTCATAAGCAAGAATCCTAAATTAATTCTATTTCCTTCTCTCGAACGTCAAATAGAACTTATCTCTATATTTTAATCCCAATATCTCTATTCCGAATTAAATATATAACGATTATCAAGCACTTGGTCCTTGTTTTACCCTCAAAGATT